AATAAACCAGTAAGTAGAGGTAAGTGTTTCCCTGAGTTCTGTGAGTTGTTCTAGCAAATTAATCAAACCCAAGAAGGGGGCTGTGGGAATCCTAATTTGTAGCCAGTTGGTTAGGTGTACAGGCAAAATAACCTGGGCTTGCGATTGGCATTGGAAGTGGGGGACAGTCTTGGAGACTGAGCCCTCAACCTGGGTGATATGACAGTATTTTCAAGTAGATAATGTCAGAATAGACTTGAATTAGAGGACACCCAGTGTCCACTGCAGAATGGACTTTTTGCTTGATGGGTGGGGGGGAAAAAACCCAGCTCTCTGGTCATAGAAGTGTTCTGTTGATTGTTGGTAAAAGAATAGTCATGCTTTCTTTTTAGTCTTTTCTGGCTCAGAAGTGGGGTTTATAGGAAGCCCTTTTATAAGTGTCTTCACTGTGGTCAATCCACAAGTCTCCTTAAGCCCTGTCCCTCATATGACAGGAGCACACCACGTTTAGAATGAAGAGAGGCAGCTGACATTCTTCTGCACAAGATGTGCAACACTAATCCAGCAGGTCTACTCTTGGGACTGTAAGATTCCTCCATTTCAAAAAGGAACTCCCATCAATATTTTTGTTTTCTCTGGTCTAACAGGCGTACTATGAAATCCAGTGAACTAACATTTCCAAAGACACGGAGTTCCTCTCATGGGAAGCCACTGTCATAAACACAAAGTGCCACTGGCTCGTTCAACATGACATAGTATAACAGCACTTCCCATAATAAGTTTTAAATCAACATTAGGTGATGTGGCGTGGTACTGCTTAAATCACTGAACTGATGTGTCATTCAGATAACATTTCAAAATAAAAATGGAACCTTGTCAAACCGAGGGAACTTGCATGTATTTTATTTTATGATGTTAGGATCAAAGGACCTGATGCTAACTGGCTGGATGTGGTGGACTTTTCCTGACTTCTGACAGTGACTCAGCCCATTTTTTTTTTTTTAAACAAGTTAAAGCTAAGTAAATGATGAATCAATGCCCACAACGCAGGAAAAGACGCCAGTTTCCCACTAAAAATCGCAAAGTGTGATAAACCTATTTCCGTTAAGAAAACTGCTGGAGTTTTTACTGGGGGATTTCCCAGGCAAACAGAGGCAGAGATATATAAACCAAAAGCGGAAGGTAAGCACATTTCCTCTGAGTGTTTTTATGCCGGACACTAATGCAAACCCAGTGAATGACTCGGGGCCGTTTCGTGTCACCCCCCTCTCCAGACCCGCTGGGGAGAGAGCACCTACCACACTCGCACTCGCCCACCGCAGGCGGGCGGCGAGGGACGGAGCACACATCCTGTGGGCAGAGGCAAAACCACAACGGTGCAAATGTCCAGTTCATCCACCGGCCCATGTAAAGCACCGTCTCCTTCCTCTCCATTTCCCCCTCCACCATTACTTACACTATCAACCGCTGTGATCATTTAACAACATCCTCTGGCTTCTCAATGGAATCACGCAGCTAGGCCAAGGTTGCCTGTCTTTCTGTTAGTATCCACAGCTGCTGGAAGCACTCCTCGTGCCACATAAACTTGCTAGGGACTTTACCTGCCTTGGGTCTTGGAATCCTAATTCCTCATGAGGTACACGCTAAGGCTCAAAAAAAAAAAAAAAAAAACCATATCACCTATGTGGTATTCCTGCCAAAAACGTTTACAATGAATCTGTTTAGGGGAAAACGATTCGACAAATCCAAATCATGGAACACTGTCTAAAATAAATGTCCCAAGTTCTCCCAAAACTGTTAATATCCTGAAAGACAAAAATCATCACCATCATCATCATCATCATCACCATCATCATCATCATCAAAAGCTGGGAAACTTCAATAGATTCAAGCAGACAAAAAAGAAATGAAAATTAAATGCACTGTGTGATTCTTATTAGGTTCTTGGATCATAAAAAGGAAACAAAAGAAAGAAAAAAATTCCAGCTAAATGGCATTATTCAGAAAATTGGGGAAATTTGAATGTTGATTGACTCTTAGATAATAGTACTATCTTACTGTTAAATTTCCTGAGTGGGATTATGACATTGGGTTTATGTAAGAGACCATCCTTCTTAGATCTCTACTGAAGTAAATAGGGATAAAGTTCAATGATGTCTGCAGCCATCTCTCAAATGGTTCAGAAACAAAAGGCAGCAAGCAAGCTGGCAAACAAAGAATCTCCCAAGTCAGAGACAGAGAGAGAAAGAGAAAGAGAGAGAGAGAGAGAGAGAGAGAGAGAGAGAGAGAGAGAGAGAGAGAGAGAGAGAGCGCGCGAGCATGCAGGCAAAATACCGACAATGGGTGAATACAGGTGCAGGGTGTATGGGTATTCACTGTACTATTCTAGAAATTTATTATATGTTCACAAACTTTCAAAAGAGAGAATTAAAAAATTATGAAATAACATGTTAAAAAACAAACAAACAAACCTCAAGCAGTAGGATTAGCTAAGGAACTTGCCGACAGCCGAAAAGTTAGCAACTGTCAGAACTGGGATGCAAACATCAGGTGTCTGAGTTGTGGCAGTTATTTTTAACTCCAATAATGTTTAAGTTATTTATATACATGTATTCCTTTAAAGGCTGTGTACAAAAAAGAAACACAATGATTGCTCTTCTCTTACATTCCTGTTCAGGATTGTCGGGACTACTGACAAGGAGAGGCAGTGAAGAAGGCAGGTTCCCGTTGGGCGTTTCTGAGCTTGGCCACCTTTTGCGGTATGAGTCTCAGCTAGGCAGGGTGAAATGAGATGATGAAAAGCCCACAGCTAATATTACTTAAAACTCAGCTGAAAACTATATAAAACGCTAAGAAACTGATCATCTCAACATTCAGGAATGTATCAGGTAACTGGCAGGATAGATTTCCCATCTCCAGTGTCTGTGAACTTAATGGATGGTTACTATTTGCACGGCTTTGCTGACAGATCCTATGGGAGGAGGCTAATGATTTGTTTATACTTTATTGTACATAGAACTGTTAAAACAAGTCTGGTATCTTCTGATTCATATTTCTAATTGCCTGGACATAGCTACATGGATCTTTTATAACTACCTAAAACTCAAACTCCTAAGGTCAATTTATCATTCCTTCTTCCTCCACCCTTCCCCGCCACTCAATACCTTTTTACCTGCACACGACCACACTCTGCATTTGCAATTTCTGTGAATGACACAAGTTTCCACCTGGGTGTGTAGGCATGAAACTCAGGAATGAATTTCAACCCTTTCTCTTTACTTCACATATATACTAATAATTTGGTGACTCTGCCTCCTAAATAATAGCTCTTGAATAAAAATTCCCCATCTTACTGGGTTGCCCTACTTCAAGTAATCGTATTGCTCACAAGGACTCCTCCAACAGCCTCCTCCTGGTTTCCTCTTACTCCAGGTTCAATTACTCTATCATCTCGTCACCTAAATTCTTTCTCTATAATGTCAGTCTGATTGTGTCTCTCTCCTAATAAACAGCCCATAATGGCTCTTCATTTCTAGTGAGGATAAGGGCAAATGCCTTAAACTTATGGTTCCACATAAGCCAGCCTGCTAGTAGTATCTGACTTTATCAGCCACGTGGCCCCTGGATGCTGCCTTCCTGACCCAGTGAGGCCTCCCTTGATGTCTGACCTCTCCCTTCTCACAGCAACATCCTTCTCCACCTAGAAAGGCCCTAGTCTTTTTTCAATGCCTGTATCCCTGTGTCTTTCTTTCTCTTCCTCCCTGAGGCAGAGACAGGGACATCCTCTTTAGGATCCTGTGGCATCTCCGTTATATCATTTATTCAAATAGCCTCATTTTACTTTGTTTATCTGTCTATCTTTACCTATAAGGGCAGGAACATGTTTCAATCATCTTTCCATCCCCAGCACGGGACACAACATCCAACATATAGCAGGTACTCAAGAGATGTTCATTACACAAAATAATATTAATAAATAGGGAGGGAAGCATAAACCGTAAAATATTTGGCTTATCAGACTTAAAAATACTAACATATTAACCACTTCACAGACCAGGCCAGAAATGATGGAACCACAGATTGCTGGTAAAATCCAAATTTAAAACTTTTATTCCTGCTGCCTATTATTCAACCCAATATTTTATTCACCAAATGCTTACTACTCCACAATTGCATAGAGGTCTCCACGAGAACTTTTTTCCCCTGTGGATGATTGGGAGTAACCCCCAGCTAGCCCAATTCAAGCCAGGTGACAAGTGGAGAGAGGAGGTGACAAGAGGTGTGGGCATGCTCTCCACATGGCTGGAGGAGGCCTGGGCAGTTCTGAGACAGGGACTGAAGTGTCCAACCTCCTTCCGGAGCTACCTGCACTGATGCCATGGAGCAGGAGAAGTTCACTTAAAGCCTGCTCCCAGAAAGGGGTTTGTGGTCCACAACAGCACACCTGATATTAGGAAGCCGAGTATGAGAAAGGCCCCTCAAAGGCCTCTGGAGCCAACAGAGAAGCCAGAAGTAAAAACATCATGAAGTTCATAGTCGTTTAAAATTTTTCCCCATACAAAATCGTATGAGGGTGACGTCAATATATTCAGCGTACAGCCCCTTTCTGGTCTACTCTATAAAATCCTGTGCCCTTTTATACTCTGATCTATGTGACAGGGGCACCGGCTTACATGTGCAAAGTGTTTCAACCTGCACATACATTACCTTTAAATTGAGTCCCTGTAACAAACTGAGGAAAGGTGGGAAAGACCAGAGAAATTCTGATGCCTTTTGCCAGCACCCGGCAACTTCAGCTGGCGATTGCCAGTATCATTTCATTTGTTTTCCGTGGCAAAATATGACAGATAATGAGGTATTTGGTCCACGTGCTTTGTGTGTATGTACTTTGAAAATGTCACCTTTGGGTAACTCAACCCACCAATGGATTATTAATAAAATTCAGCAACTGTCAAAGCGCTTCTCCGCGGAGGGAGGCTTGGCGGCGACACCTATTAGGAGAGAGAGACAGATGGCCTTACCTCTCAGCTCCGGCGTCCACAGCTGCGAGTGGAGGTAACTGGGAGGAGGGGTGGTGGGGGCTCCCCTGTACATTATGTCCCGGAGAAGGGTGACTGACAGGATGAGGGGGCGGCACGGCCCCAGCAGCTGTTCCGCTTCGGCTTGAATGATTGCTGGAGAAAAGGGGAGCTGAAACGAAGGGAGAACAAGCATGAGGCTGCGCCCCCAAAGAAGCCCGCGTTTCTTTTTTTTTTTAAATACCGAAGGCTGACAGCAAGCATATTTTAGGGGCTTGTTTGTTTTTTCTCTGGGTGGTTTGCAGGGAGCGGCTCTCCCCTTCTTGGGTATATACACAGCTTTTGTTTTCACGGTGGAACAGGTTCCTTGGAGCGCACGTGCGGCTCGCTCCAGGCGGCCGTGCCTCGCCGGTTCCCTGTCTGGACACTGTGTAATTAGTCTGTCTTGTACCGTTTGCATCCGTGCAGAGGTCTCCCTGTTAGAGCCTTTCAGTCACGGGGGATGAGAGTCATCAGGTGACAGAATATTGGGCCAGCTGACCAAGGAGAGCACAACACAGGCCTTCTTGCTCCTCTCGCTGTGGCAGGGAGCCATGCGGGTCAGGCCGGGAGTCCCTCTCTGTCACTGCTAACCCAGAGTAATCAGGACCGGGTTTCCCCGATCCCCCACACAAATGTAGGATCCTACACCCTTTCAACTTAAGAGTCTAACTGACCCCAGGCATCTCCCAGATGGTGTGATGAATATTCTCGGTCTTCATCAAGGGTCCCCTCCAAACACGAGAAGGGGGCCTCAAATGCAGCCCTGGGACCTCCCCCCACTGTTGCTTGTTATGACACAGGGAGTGAGTGAGAGCCCCATTCGTAGGGGCAGCCTAGCCTTTGAGAATTGTACACGACCCCAAACATGAACGTGTGCCCATTCAGATCAGCTAATTGGTGCGATGTCACAGAGGAAACTAGGGCTTGTCACTTCCAGAGTCTTATCAGAGAGGCTCTCTCAGGGTCTGGGACCTGCTCAGCGGACATCTCATTATGCGGCAATCATACCAGCATCATTATGCCGACTCTCTTCAACTTCCTTCCCTGTACAAAGCTATGCTGAGCTTTATACCCATTTCTGCTCTCTTTGAACTTACGCTACCAATATCAAAGAATAAAGGGATTAAAAAAAAAACAACCAAAAGAAATCAGGTTCAGGGTTAAGAAAGAGAAGCCACGTTATCAAACAGATTTGAGGGTTTAAAAGTTCAAGGAGTTGTATTTTTAGACCAGTACCATTTTCCCGACCTCTCCAGGATAGGATTAATACCCCAGATGACCCAGCCCCCAAAAGCATAATCCAATGGAACAAGAGTTCAAGTATTTAAAGGAACATGTGAAGAGGCAGCATTACCATCTTCCCGCTCAAAAAGCTACTGACAGGGGTGTGATCTGATTTGAAGGGTTTATTTCTGGTAAATCAGCATCCTGCCAGGTTAACTCTTGTCCTCAGAAGCCTGTATCCACCACAGCCCTCCAAGTCCTAAAAAGGTAGTGGGGCCGGAAAATGCTTACCAGCTCACAAAGGCGATGCTGAGCTTCTGTCTTGTGCGTCAGCCTCCATAAAAGTTGCACATTTGCAAACTCGCTAGAGTCACCTTATGAATCACTACCCTCATTTATGCTCAGCTAGCTCAGGGAACCACAATTCTGCTTGTATTCCAAATAATAATTTTACCCAGGGGAGCAGGCTGTTTGGATTGACTGCGGCAGTAGTTTTCAATACTGGTGTTTGTCAGCATGGAGCTTGGTGTTTTATACACTATTCCAAAATCTAATGGAATAATAAGAGGTCACAGAGACACTGTGAAAACACAGCTAACTTTTTTTTTTTTTTCTGCCTTAGTGTAGAAATGTGAGCTCTCCTATTTATTTTGTTGTAGTTGCTGAATGCACCCATTACTTATTTTTCCCCGGAGGTATTTCTATATATATTTTTGTGTGTTTATCACAAGGGAACCCTTGCCCCTGGTGTTTATGACCCAATGGGCAACAGGAAAACTTGGGTGTACACTCTATGCTCTACTCGATGGTTCAACAGAAAGTGTGGTGCCTCTCAGAGGTGTATATTACCTACATTTGCTACATTTGGCATTTGCCGCAATGAAACAGGCTAGGAAATTTATATTGTTTGTAACATGTTACTCACTCAAAGTTAGGCCTGGTTTACGGGCTCTCCTTCATGCCATTTAACATACAGGAACAATCATCCATCAATAATCTATCCATCGATCCATCCATCCATCCTTCAACCATTATATTTTGAATTCAAAATTTATTGAATGCTTATTATGTGCTAGTCACTCTACTGTATGAGTCCCTGCCCTTGTAATTTAGTGAGAACAAACCTCCATACATTAGTTTTACCAAAATACTTAGACTTACTAGAGTAGAGCATTGAGCGTAGTACAGTTGCGGGGAGGTGCTGCCAAGCTGTGCCTGGTGCAGCTGGTTGCCATAGCAATGGCCAGCAGAAACAGGTAGTGGGGAGGATATGAGGTGAGTCCCACATGGTTTCTGATATGGGGCTGAAGGCTCAGGAACGTGCCCCCAGCTGTGCTGGACGCAGTCAAGTGCTGACTGACCAACAGTCAAACACATCCACAGCCCTTCCCTCTTCTGCTACAGCTGGTGATGGGCACAGAAACAGGCATGGTCCCCTGATGGGGCCCCATGACAGTAAGAGAGGAAGGGCTTTAGGATTCAGTTTAAAGCCTGGGTTTGGAAAGTATATGGAACAGTTTCTTACACAGGGTGTGGGAAATCACATCTCTGCAAATGAGACCCATGGTTTGCCCCTGTTTTCTAACAAATGGGATGAGGAGTATAGGCAAATATTTCTTCTGGTGAGATTACAACTTAGAAGAAGCTTGTAAGTCAGTGTCTACACAAAGCACTTTGCATGCAAAGTCCGAGCCATGACTGTTCTTTGTAGATGTTGCCTGTGACCGAGATAATGGTCAGAAATTTGGAGGAAGTAACAACAGACACAAGCATGGCTTTCCAACATTGATCCAATCCTCACATTCCATACCCTTCTAACAGAATGAACAACTCTCTGGAGTCACACAGCTGTGGCTTCAATAGGATTATCTTTGGCCTCTAGTAAAGACCCACATTTCTCAGGCACTAGAAAGGCACTAAGGCACAGGAAATGCCTCGCCCACTTACGTACACTTCACACATATTTCTGACCATACCATAGTCATACATCCAGGATTCGATCTTAATTCCTATAGTTTAGGAGTATTATTTCCTTCATTCATCCTTCCAAACACAACTTTTTAGCACCTACCTCGCATCAGGCAGGTGCTGAGCTCTATTGACTGCTGTAATCTGAATACCTGCTGACTTCACACAGACCTGCCCACCACAACACAACGCCTCCGGACAAACGTTCGGGCTCTGCCGAGTGATTTTTAACCTCAGGTAGAAAACCTCCATGTTAAAGTAAAATTGTAATGTCACTTGCAAAAGGAAGAATTCCCTTCCAACATACTCAAAGATGATTTTCCAAACTCAACCAATGGGGCACACAATGTAGCCTATCGATCAAAGCATAAGGAAGAGAACCGATCCCCCCAGAGTACCCGGCAATATTAACAAAACTGTGTGATCAAATCAACCAGCACACACAGGCTGCCCACGGGGGCGGCTTCATTGTCTGTGTCAACTCAGGGGTCACTACTGCTTCCAAGGCTGGGAGAGAGCTTTTAAGTGAACTTCCAGACTTGGCTGACGACTGGCAGCTGGAACAACTGATTAGGCACGGTAGAGGAACATATTGGAAATTCTTATTGCTTTTGTGATTAAGAGATGGTGGACTCCCCAAGGAAATAAAAGCCCTGGCCTTGAGATGAATACGTGAGCCCTGCATTCAGCAGAGGACCAGGAACCTGCCTCCCTGCTGCTTTGGGCTTTCTCTTTCTTTGGGGCCTGGCTTACTGCAGTCCCACACCCCGTCTCCAGTAGAGGGAGGTGGAGGTGACTTAGTTGGGCTCTATAATTTTAACAAAGCAGCATCTGTTGATCTATGTGCTTCTCAGATGCCATCTCACTGGCTGCTGGACTAGGACATTCTAGGCTGGTGCCTTTAACTGGCTCAGATTAATTCAGATTAACAAGCAGCTTTCACTCTGTCCAGATGAAAACTATTAATCTATATTTCTAATGGGTAAGGACAGGGCACCCCTAGGGTTATGTCAGGCGCAGTGTGATGTAGGCGCAGTGTGAACAGAGAGAGACAAAGAGGGTTAGTGGCATCCCCAAATAACGACTACTTGTCCCAGGCCCATCACCAGAGCAGGGGAAAGCCACCAGAGGCATTACTTGGTGGCTGTGTTTTCATCATTTTAGAAGGCAAGGATGAAGACCTGCCTTGTCAGACTAAGGGGTATTAAAAACAGCCAATATGCACCCCTGTTCAAAACTATGAGAACAGACAGAACCCTGCTTCTCAAACCCTAATGTGCAAACAAATCAACCAGGTAAAACATAGATTCTAATTTCCAGGTCTTGCAAGCAGAGGGTGCTGAGATTCTGAACTTCTAACACACTACCAAAGTCCCTGGTGATGCTGAGGCCTCTGGTCTGGAAACTGTACTTTGAGTAGTAGATGCTGGACCCTATCTCAGCTGCATTTCATCTTCTTGCTGTCCCACACCTCGGAATTAATAACTAAGATTTATTGAGTACTTATTTATGTGCTAAATACTTCATAAACATTTTCCCAGCTGACTGATGAGGAACTTGAGGCCCAATCTGCTTCCTGGTTAAGTTACCTGGCCTGGGTCACATGATGGTTAAATAGTGGAACTGGAATGTCAAACCAGGAAGCCTGATTTCAGGTCACATGACCCTGACCACCAGCCTGTATTGCCTCTCAAATACAAAATGAGTTCAAGTAAAGGCGTAAGACTGTTGATACTGTATGGGAAGCCCTGAACACTCTTGTTTGCAAAGGCCTCTGGGAGTCAACAGGCACTCCTCCCCCACCGCGCACAATGCACACGAGTGGCTACAACCACCAAACTGCAGGTTAGAATGCAAAAAGGATATTCCCATTTCAGTTTCTGTCCATCCTAAAAGCAACTCAGCATTGATGAGAGAAATTTTACAGCCCTGAAAATT